CACTGTGTGTGTGTATGTATATATATATATATATATATATATATATATGTGTGTGTGTGTGTGTGTATGTATATGTATGTATGTATGTGTGTGTGTTTTGAAAGAAATATCTTATGCTCACCAAGGCTGCATTAATTTAATTTAGAAAATACAGTAAAAACAGTAATGTTGTAAAAATATTATTACATTTTAAAATAACAGTTTTCTATTTTAATATATTTTAAAATGTAATTTATTCCTCTGATGCCAAAGCTGAATTTTCAGAAGAAATTACTTCAGTTTTCAGTGTCACATGATCCTTCAGAAATCATTCTAATGCTGATTCGGTGCTCAAGAAACATTTCTTATTACATTTTTATTACATCATAAATGTCTTTACAATAATATAATAGTATATTACTATTATAATATAATAGTAATATAATAGTCTAAACAACCTCTAGTGTTCTAATTTTTCATCTTTAAAATATCAAAATATAATAAATAGAATTTTAAAAAATCCTTCCAATTTAAAATGTTATTGTAGTTAATTACAATGCAAATATTTTCCTCATGATCTTTCTTTTTTGTTTGTTTCCGAGTAAACCAGTAAAAATCTGAATTGGGATTAAGAAATGACACTATAACATAAATCAAATTTTACTTGTATAACTAATAACTAGGGCTCCAGTAATTTTACATAATAAACACACCTGTTGTTAACTATTTCTCTGCATTCTGTCCTTGCATATCAGAATCTCACCTTAATTATTTTCAATTATAGACTGTGCATTACCCATTTAAAATATTCCTCAGCCATAGTTACAGAAATAGCAGTTTATTACCTGGCTCCATGCCAGTGCTGGACTCTCTGCTGTTAGCTGAACTGCCGGTGGAGTAGGGCAGGTCACTCAACAAACTGACGCCTGCTGCCATGGCAGACACTGAAAGAAGGGAGCAAACATGGTGTCAAAGACTCAGACACAAAACAATAGCAGGGTAAACATAAATGAGGAAGTTGTAAGGCTGGTTGCCAGGGAGTTTTCCCTCCTGGGAAAACACTGTGCAGTGTCACATGGTGAATCTACTGTCACTGAAGTGCCAAATATAATGAACAAGCTCTAGATAAGAACATATAAATAAAGAACTTTACACATTTAAAAGAGAGCTTGACTATGGAGGATACCAACAAACAAATAACAGATAAATCCTTATGCTGAAAAATAACACATAAACCCTTATGATTTTGTTTTCGATGCAGAAAAAACTCTAATCATCAGGATTTTTACAGGTATTAACCTTAAAAATTAATGAGAGAACTACATATTTCTGGTCTTAAAGGGGTCATATGATGCTTTTTTAAAGATCATTATTTTGTGTATTTGGTGTAACAGAATATGTTGACATGCTTTAATGTTCAAAAAACACATTATTTTTCAAATACTGTACATTATTGTAGGTCCTCTATGCCCCGCCTCTCTCAAACGCTTCATTTTCTACAAAGTCCCTCCTTCCGACAAGCGCAGTCTGCTCTGATTGGCCAGCTGACCCAGTGCATTGTGATTGGCCAAACACCGCAAGCACTCGTCGGAAATGTAACGCCCCTTACCATAATCGCGAGCGTCAGCTTTCAAAATAAATGTAAAGACAGAGCCCGAAAGGGGAACAGAGTCGCGTGACAGACACAGTGATGAAGCTGGTATGTGTTTG